CAATTGCTCTATGCCTTTGGTTTCAATTTATACAGTGTGCCAGCATTTTTGGGAGTTCTATTCTATTTGTTCTGTTTCATTGATCTAGTTTCCCTTGCCTTCTCACCTTTGCTTTTGAGTAAATGTTGATCATTTGGTCTCACATAGTTCATTGTTTAGGGGAACACATTGTTCCAGGGTGATACAGTTTATTCTATAAACCAAACTACTAGTTGGCTAAAATGTGACCTGCAGAAATGGCTTCATTTCCATTTCTAAAGGGCATTTTAGGGCAATAATTTCAGGGCTTCTAGTCTAGATTGGTTCAGTAAATCTGACCCTTTTTAGGAATTTGAATTTTGTTCTATATTTGCCTGTATTCTACCTGAGACCTTCTATGTGTTGCTGGGCAGATGGTTGGTAATGGTGGCCAGGCGCCATCTACTTCTGGTCTCAGAATAGGAGACCTGGTTTGATGTGGGCTATTAGTACCATGCATTAGTTTTTGCCTTTGGTTTCCTTCATTCTCTTTTGCTCCTAATGAATAGAGACTAGAGCGTGTCTTAGATGGCTGCTCACAAGCTTAAACACCCAGATGCTACCTGACAAACTAGAACATTATGGTCTGAGTTCCCTAAGTGCTGCTAAGACAGAAATACCACAAGTCGATGGCTTTAACAAATAGAAATTTATTCTCTCAGTTTAGGACGCTGAAGTCTGAATTCACAGCGCCCGCTATAGGAGAAGGCTTTCCTCTCTCTCTGTCAGCTCTGGGGGAAGGCCCTTGTCTCTCTTCAGCACAGGGCCAGCATTCTTTAGAGATTTCTGTGTGTCTTGTCACCAGTCTGTCCCTGCATCTAGGAGGTTCTCAACACAGGGACGTTGGGTCCAAAGGACGTACTTCTGGCTCTCCTTTCTTAGTGGTACTGGGGTCCCTCCTTCTCTCTCTTTTTAGCTGTAAGATCAAAGGCGATACAGGCCACAACCCAGGGAAACTCCCTTACATTGGATCAGGGCTGTGAGCTAAGTAAGAGGGTGGCATCGCACCCTAATCCCCTTACAATGACTTGACTGATCACATAAGATCACATCATGGAGATGATTATATCATTATGTAACTGCCAAATGCCATCATTGTGTAACTTCCAAACCTTGTGGTCCAGTGCATTATCCTGCAGAACCACGCCAGGACTCCATGATACATATATACAGATAAAGAGAGAAACATTGTTGGTAAAGGTTCCAACTCTATTGTATACTTGCTGGTCCCTCCCTTTGATTAGTAATTTTGTTTTATATGTGTTGAACCTATGCTATTAGATGCATATGCATTTAGGGCTGTAAAGTCTTCTTGGCAGATTAACCCTTGTTTCCTGTAGAATGTTCTTCTGTGTGTCTAGTAACGCTCCGGAGCTTGATGCCTACGTTGTCACGAAGCCACATAGGCTTTGTGTGGTTACTATTGCATGCTATGTCTTCTTCTTTGTAGGATGTGGTCCTCGTTTCAAAAGTGTGCCCATTCTGGGATTTCATAAGGTGTTTAACAAGCGTCTTTAATTTGGTGTTGCTGTTAAATGCCGTTGAGTTGGTTCCAACTCACACAGCGAGCCTGTATAGGGTTTCCGAGGAGCAGCTGGTGAGTTTGAACCACCAACCTGCAGTTCAGCACATATCCCTCTGAGCAGCTAGTGGATACAAACCATTGACCTTCTAGTGAGTAGCCCAACTCTTAACTCCCTGTGCCACCAGGGTTCCTCGGGAGAAAAACGTACTTCTACAAAGATGAAAACCAGGAGGGCAGCTGTACTGTATCCTGTTGGTCAGAATCGATTCCACAGAAGACAACCAGATCAACATACACCCTTAGCTCCCCTGGGCTTTTGTTTCGTTTTTTCCTTTCTTAGGCCCGTGGAATATTAAATATCAGTACTTGGTAGAAAACTCACGAGTAGGGCTACTCACTGTAGAGGGTGTAGGTTTTATCTCTGAAGAGCAATTTCCCTCACTGTGCTCTTGATCATTCATACTTGCTAACACTACGTACTTCTTGGGCTCTCCCAACACCCATTGGAGTCCTGGTGTGGCGCTGTGTGTTAATGCAACAGACTGCAAAGCCATTTGAACTGCAAGGTCGGCGGTTCAAGCTTACCAGCTGCTCCTAGGAAACCCTATACAGGGTCACTATGGGTTGGAACTGACTCAATGGCACTTAACAACAACAACCCAACACACATGGGCATCTTGAAGCCTCTCAAAGTTCCACAGTTGTGCTTTGTTTTTTCTTTTAAAAAGGGAAAAGGTTGAAGGGCATAAAGACATACCCTGTTTCTTGCCATACTGAACAAGCCCTGAAGGAAATTTCCCCTTCACTTTTAAAACTGTGGGTTTATTTTAGGAATGAATGAGAGAGGCCTGTCTCTATGTTCTTCACACATCTCCCACAACATCAGAGGCCAGCGAGGACAGGGCACAGATCATAACTGACCACTTTTCCGGGGCTCTTCAACAAGAGTTGCTATTCAGTTTGTATGTGTAGCCAAAGGAGATAAGTCGGGATCATTTTGAGGATAATGCTCACGAGACCTTCGAGAAAATAATACCTAAACTTTGCCCACAAATGTTCTGATGTACAATTTATGAAAATGCAAAGAATGAAATTATGAACACCTACAGTATTTGGCAAAATCTTTCTGAAAATCAGTCCTGGCGTTGAAGAAGGCACGTCCTTTCTCGGTCCCAACGATGAACACGTCTGTTTCGTACATTGCGATGCAGGCCACCTCGGCTTTGGACTTGGCCAGTTCTTGGCACTAGAATAGAAGGAAAAAAATAATGTCATGCAGACAAGGGCAAATTCAGATTTTGCAGGGCCTGAGGGGTCTGCTTTAAGAAAAGATACAGATTCTTTTCATATTTACATATTTAAAATGAAAAAAAATCACACACAGGAGAAAAAAACACACAACATATTTATCAAGCAAAGATCATGAATATCATAAAACCCAGAGGAGAATGGAAGATTTTTATTAGCTGCCTGACATGCCTCACCATGTCTTTACTTCACCTCGGGGCTCGATAATTCATTGTAATGTCCACACAGGGCTCGCAGACTATGCGTTTAAGGAAGTACCAGAATGCAACTCCGGGTCAGGGTCAGGAAGCATGCACGCGAAGTCTCTCCAGTGCAGGACAGCTCTCTCAGCTCCTCTCTGCCCTGCAAGCAAGCACACCCCCCCTTGGCCTTGCAGACCTCCTCTCGGCCCGCTCAGGACAGGCCTTTAGCTGTGCATACTCCTCTGACTTTGGCCTCTCCACTGCAAACTAACCCAACTCAGAGCCAGTGTGTAGCAGTTCTGTTCAGCTCTCTTATCTGTGTTTCTAGCCACAGGTTCCTGCCCTTGCCAACTCTGCCACTGGGCCCCTTCTGGCTCTGTGCTGGCTGTAGCGTTACAGCCCTTGCCCCGCGTTTTGCAGTCTTTTAGGGGATCCTTGTCTCCTTTTTCTGCTGCTTTTCTCTTCTTGTCTCTCTTATAATTTCCCCTCCTCCCTTCACACTTTTGTGGCGTTCATAGCACATGTAGGCACACTCCTGGTCAGTTTCAAGGCATGGCCCTCCCAATAGGGCCACCAACTGACCAATTCCCTTCAGTGAACCATAGTCACTTCATCTGCATAGTAAAGGCCACAGAGGTAAATATTATTAAGCAAACAATCCTGAAATAATGGTGATCTATAAGTGAGGGGATCTATGAGTGGGTGTCTATAATGGTGATCTATGAGTGGGTGTCCATAACGGTGATCTATGAGTGGGTGTATATAATGGTGATCTAAGAGTGGGTGTATACAATGGTGATCTATGAGTGGATGTCTGTAACGGTGATCTATGAGTGGGTGTCTATAATGGTGATCTATGAGTGGGTATATATGATGGTGATCTATATGAGTGGGTGTCTATAATGGTGATCTATGAGTGGGTGTCTATAATGGTGATCTATGAGTGGGTGTCTATAATGGTGATCTATGAGTGGGTATCTATAATGGTGATCTATGAGTGGGTGTATATAATGGTGATCTATGAATGGGTGTATATAATGGTGATCAAGCTCTGGTAGCGTAGTGGTTACGAATTGGGCTGCAGACCTTAAGGTCAGTGGTTCGAAACTACCAGCCACTCCATGGGAGAAAGATGAGGCTTTCTACTCCCGTAAGGATTTACACCCTCGGAAACCCTGTACAGGGTCGCAATGGGTCGGAACCGACTCGAAGGCACTTAACAACAACAACAACAAAGGGGGATGTGCATGCTGAATGGCTGTGGGAAGGGGAGGGGGACTATGCCCATGAATATATATAGGTTTGACAGGATATTTCTACATGTATATTTATTTATGTGTAGCACTGTATGATAAGCACTGGACTGTTAACCACAAGGTCAGTGGTTCAAACCCCTGAGTCAGTCACTCCTTGGAAACTCTATAAAGAGTCATTAGGAGTCAGAACAGAGTCATCAGTACTTAACAACATTTATCTACGCTGCAAATATTTCCATGTATGTGGTGTAACTTAATGGGGACAAAATTATGAACATTTCTTAGATACAAACAAACACTTTGAGGGAATGGGTCGCTGTGCTTGGAGGCTGAGAACTATAGTCTTAGGGGACACCAAGGTTAATTGGCAACACATAGTCCATAGAGACAGTGTTCTACATCCTACTTTGATGAATAGCAACTGGGGTCTGAAAAGCTCATGAGCAGCCATCTAAGGTGTAACTATTGATCACTCCCTGTCCAGAGGCAAGAAGAGAACTGAAAACTCATGAAATCAACTCATCCAATGGATTACGACACACATGAACATCAGCCTCCATGACCCGGAGACCAGAAGCAGGTGGTATCCAGCTACCAACACCAACTGCCCTGAAAGGACTCACATTAGAAGGTCCTGGATAGTGTGAGAGAAAATATATAATCAAAACTCAAAATCATCAAGACCAAGCTTACTGGTTGGACAAAGACTGATGCAACCACCGAGACTACGGTCCTTAATCACTCGTCAAGTCTGGAACGATACTCACCCCTGTGACTCAATTTTCAGTCAAACAGGTCTACAAGGGGTACAATATCCCGAGGAAAGTATGCACTAAAGAACACATAAACAACAGTCTCTATGACGCTGAGACCAGAAGAACAAGATCACACCAAGCTACCACTACCAACTGCTCTGAAAGAGATCACATTAGAAGATCCTGAATAGAATGGGAAGGGAATGTGAAACAAAACTCAAAATCATAAAAAGACCAGGTCTAACGAATCAGGCTGCGAACTGCAAGGTCAGCAGTTCGAAACTATCAGTTGTTCCGTGAGAGAAAGATGAGGCTTTCTGCTCCCGTAAAGATTTACAGCCTTGGAAATCCTGTACAGGGTCGCTGTGAGTCAGAACCAACTCCACGGTACATAACCACCACCACCACTGGTCAGACAGAGACTGAAAGAGCCCTAAACTATGAGTCTGGTCACCCTTCAGGATGTTAGGGAAATTTTCTTCCAGCAGTTCTTCAACTATTTCCTCTGTGGACTTGTGTGATTCTTCCTGTTCCGGAATGCTGATAATTCGTAAGTTATTCCTCTTCATGTTGACCAACATGAACCTTAGAACTTCTTCAGATTTTTTATCCTTTTTTTTGTTTCTGTTTGCCCTTCTATCTTAGTGTTATTGAGAGATTTGTCTTCCAGCTCACTGGTTCTGCCTTCCATCTCTTCTATTCTACTCCTTTGCCCTTTCAGTGTATTGTCTATTTATGATATTCTATTATTTATCATTTGGACCTCTTTCTGTAGGTTTTGAATTGTTTCCAATGCTGTAACTATCTTATTTGATTGTTCCTGTAGCACTTTCCTGACTTCTTCCTTATTTTCCTCAACTCCATTGTAAAGGATTTGAAACATTTTATAATCATTTTTCTGAATTCCTTCTCAGGCCTGCCCTCCTTCCAGAATGCAGTCTAGGTCTACATCTAGGTCATTTGTCTCAGACATTTTTTCTTGTTTCTGGACATGTGCTGATATGGTCATCTGCTTTTGCTTCTTGGACATGTTTAGTGTTTATCTGTGGCCTTAATACTTAATTAACCCAAACATAATGGCAACAATTAATCCATACCTATCGATAATTACACTGAATGTAAACAGATTAAATACACCAGTTAAGAGACAGAGGGTGGCAGAATGGATAAGAAAACAAGATCCTTTAATATGCTGTCTGTAAGAGACACATCCTACATACAGAGACAAAAAAAGATTAAAAGTCAAAGGATGGAATAAAAGATACCAAGCTAATTGCAATTAAAAAAATCAATTGACTATATAGAAATACAGGTTTATTTCTGAATGTTCAATTTTATGTCATTGGTCAGTATGTTCACTCGTCTGTCAGTTTGTAGTACTGTGGTGGCTTGTGTGTTGCTATGATGCTGCTTGCTATGCCACCGGTATGTTAAATACCAGCAGGGTCACCCATGGTGGACAGGTTCCAGCTCAGCTTCCAGATGAAGAAAGAATAGGAAGAAGGGGAGACTACTTCTGATTGTCTAGCCACTGAAATCATTCTGAATAGCAGTGGAACACTGTCAGCACCATAATATTGAATATTGAAACATTATAAACAGCACCAGAACATTGTCAGGTATAGTGCCAGGTGATGAGCCTCTCAGGTTGTAAATATGACTGGGGAAGAGCTGCCTCCTCAAGGAAGAATTGACCATAATGATGTGGATGGAATAAACCTTTGAGAACTTTCATCTGATGAGGGGGTACATCTCAAGATGAGGAGAAACAGCTGTAAACATCCATTAATAACCAGAATATGGACTGGATGAAGTATGACTCTATGAAAATTGGAAGTTGTCAAAAATGAAATGGAACACATCGATATCATAGGCATTAGTGAGCTGAAATGGACTGGTACTGGCCATTTTGAATGTGACAATCATATGATTTACTATGCCAGGAATGACAAATGGAGGAGGCATGGCATTGAAATTCATCATCAAAAAGAACATTTCAAGATGAGTCTTAATGTA